ATTGGGTTTAACGTCGTGCTTGAGAATATTTCGCTCATATGACGACGTGCATGTGTGTGTATGTGTATGTGCGGCTGCTTGTACTAGCCCAGACTGAAGCTGGTTTTATAGTGCTAGCTCACTGAGATACCATGCCGCAATGAAGCATGAATAGCCCACTCAGACACATTATACTGACTCCGAGCCTACCAGTCCTTGTTGTACCCATTAATGCCGAGCGCCAGGCAGGGACCAACAAGTACCATATTTTAACGTTTTTTGGTATGACACGGTCGGGGATCGAACCCGCGACCTTCCGCTCTCCGGGCGGACGCTCTAACCACTACACCATGGAGGCGGCTTTGGGTCATGATGTTAAATGGGAAAAGATAAAAGAATGGAAACAGCAATATACCATATACAGAATATCAATCTCATGTCAATCAGGGCTTGTTCCACTGACTATTAAGATATTCATAACTCCCACTCTTCAACATTTTCCTATGACCGTCGTAGCGCTAAGCTTTGTTAAATGTAGCGGAGACCTTTATCTCCAATATGATAACTCTCTGGGTGAAGTCCTCAGCACACTCTACAGAAGGTGGCATCAACTAAACTCTATAACCAGAGATAAAGCTTCTTAATTACAGAATGAATAAGAAAAGCATTCGGTCCAAGCATATCTGGTTCCTGTACCTGAAAATGAAGGTACCGGTAACCCGTCGATCCTGAATGTAAATGATGAAGGCAACTCCATTATATCATTGTTGATATCTTATATGTACTTTGTCTTTTCTGAGTGCTATGGTATAGAAGAAATATACATATTCGGTATGGGTTTTCTTGCATAAAAAACTAAATCACACTGGTGAGAAATTCACTTGATGTGACAGTTTATGGTGAGGTCCTCAGATTATGACTTTTTTCTATATTTTGTTTTTAGTGTCATGAAATCTGCAAACCACCTGAAAAAGGTCTCACTTTAAGCGACCATGTACAATCTCATCTTTATTTGTTCTCTAAACACCAATCATGGTTTTGAAGTGAAATGGTCAGCACAAGTTATAGACAAGCTACCAGCACATACTTGGGACTTTGAAAGTGACATGGCAGGAATGAATATTTTCTTGGCCAATGAGAAGATCGTCGCAAGCAGCCCCACATATTCGTGAGGTAGTAGGTTGTAGCTGAGAGAGGTGAAGTTTGTCAACACCATATTACTGAACAGAATCTGAAACAAACAGAAAAAGACCAGCACCTTCAGGTATAATACAGTCAAACATACAGGAACGGCAGATGCAAGGAAATGCCATTTATACTCATCAGTAATAAGGCGTGTTCAAAACTAAGCATGAAAGTCAAGAGATCCTTGTCATATTTCAAAATGTACACATTTATGGGTTCTCCAGATCCAAATACTACAGCAGCATACCTCCCCATATTTTCAGATACTGAATTAAATCAAGTTTTGCCCATATGATTTAAGCCGTTGTGCATCTGACAGTTTACCTATACCATGGAAATCAGGTTTTGGAAACATGCACATTTGCATTTCATGGGAATTCTTTTATCTTTACATGTTTCCTACTTTCCATTTTCAATATTTTAGGGTTGGTAGAATCATCAACTAAAAAGGTTCTTGCATGTGTTAGATTTGTCAGCTGCCTCCTACCTTGTAGTCGGAGTACAGCTCCTGTACGTAGGCTTGTGTCATGGATGGAGTGGAGGCTGCTTCATACAGGTTCTGGACATCTTTGTTGGAACCAGAACAACTAACTCCAGCAACTGAAGTACACAAATTAAAATATCTGGTTATCAATGTTTAAACTGAACATTAAAGTCAAGTGGTACATGCCATGACCCCAAAGTCAAAAGTAAAAGATTCAGATGGCCCCTGGATTCAATTCTGCCACAACAAACCCGGAGGACTCTTGTCCTCCTTCATTTCAAATGCTGGAAATGAATCATGATGTAATGATTTACTTGACATAAGTTTCTGCTGTACAAGAGCACAGTTGTTGACATCATTCCATTAGTGTTAAAGGCACAAATTTATTAAGATTAACAAATTTCCAGTGGTATGGAGTAACTTCACTTTGTAAAGACATAAGAATTGTCTTTCCAGATTGACAGGTCCATATCAGAAAGGTTGAACTGTATGCCACTCTACAGAGGTGTAATGTAGGTTAACACTGAGATTATTGCGCTTATTTAACAATTTGCAGTCACATATGCTTGTACAAGTTCGAACTTAGGCCAATTGTATATTGGTAACCCAATGCAATACAGTGCTGCAGATTACCATGGAGACCAGACACAGTATGGTGACCCTTCCATCCCTGTTTCATTTGTTTGTCAAGTGTCTGGCTGGGTAACAGCAAGAGCCATCTCTTGGACTGACACTGCCAGAGGATTGATCCACTGACCTTCACCTCTCCAGGAAGACACTCCACCACACCAAACAGAGGTCTTGATATATACATAAAACATATCTGATAACTCTTTTAACATGTTGTTAAAACTATTAGAATAGCATATATCAAATTGTCATCATATACACACATTCCCAACTGGGTGCCATTGTAAGTTTGACGGACTATAGAACTGATATGAAGAGACAAGTTTTGGACTTGTAGGATCAAATTAGGCACAGTTTACTTACAACCATCATGCTTGATGCGAACAGCGATGGCCGTTGTGTTCTTGTTTTGTCTGGCAGCCTTCAGCGCGCCATCTGGCACCCACCGATTTCAATAACACTGCCAGGGAGGACCTCCCTCTTCATGATACCCCAGTAAACCATCGAGCCATCCATCTCAGGAATCGTCTCATCTGAACAATAAGACCTCATATTCTTTATGTGATCCAAAGCTTAATAAACTGATGATTCAAATATTCGTAAAACAGGTCTTGTGAATATTCAAAAAATGATTTAAGTAAAGATAGTATGAATCGGCTAACGGACGATACTCAAAGTGAGTGAGTAAATCACATTTAATGCTACTTTGACTAGTATTCCAGTTATATCAGGGTGAGTCAGCTTAATGTAGCCAAAAATATGGTCTCAAACCAATACAGATTTATCCATTGTATAAGGAATATTTGCATACTTTTTGTACAGTTTTACACTCCCGTTCCATGTTTCACTTCCACATTGGCATTTGAACATAATTTCAGTTCTGTGTAACGCCTCCAGTATATTCTGAATGGTTTTTTTACTTTTTTATAATTTGTTTTATTACAGTGGCATGTGAGGATTATTCTGAACTCCAACTTCAACCACTAGTCTAAAGTATTGTATAATTAATACAAGATATTGTTAAGTACCCTATACTAATATTTATTTTAAACATATGTTGTAGACTCAAACACTTGTTGGCACAAACTTCACTGCTATAAACTGTAAAACTTACCTTTTGGGATATCGTGGTGAGAACCTTTGGTGTACATATTCCATATTTCATCAAGAACTGCATCATTCTCCATGTAGTGTTTGCTGGTTTTCTTAAAATAGATACAAGAAGCTTTAACGCTTATACAGTATCATGAAACGAACAGTACATAATTCAAGTTTTTCATGATCCATTGCATGTATGATCTGAAAAGTTAAAAGAGTGCAAACTGAGTTATACTGCTTTTTGGTTTATTCTCATATACCTCTCCATATGACATTGTGTGTTATTGTAAAATGAATGGGACAGCATTTGGCAATGTGATTGCCTGTTAACATTTACACACAGGATCTAGGCCTGGATATGTCATTTTCATTTTTAATTTGTTTAAGACTTTTCATGGATACCATGTATCAAATTTGACAAAACATGACACACAGGCATAGCAATTTGAATATCACATCCATTGAATACTGAGTTTATAATTAATAATTTGATTCATATATCTCAGAACAACAATGAGTTGGTTGATTTGTCACAACATCCTGCTAGTTTGACAGTTTCAATTGTTATGGGTGTTTATGATGTCATCAATTGTATCGTGACATCAATCCAGAATCATATGTGCCATATGGATCTTTCAGTTCGCATAGGAAAAACACTAGTATAGAGAATTACCTATAGCTGTTCATATTTACAATGATGATGAAATATATTTCATAAAAACCATAAGATTTGTGGGGGTCATTGATATGGCATAATCAAATTGTCATTACCAATCACAAATCTGGAAACACATAATGCTTATCTTAACAAGTACTCCATGATTCAATACTCAAGATCACAATGACATTTACAATGACAAAGATTTTATCAGTTGCGAAGAAAAACAAGGATTACTTCATATCACGTCCTATGTAAAGGCTTAACAAACTCTCCCCATGATGATGATGACGATGGTAACAACATAAATGACAGGTTTTGCAAGGAACATAAAGATCCCTTCGGTTGATAACATTAACAACATACTTTGTCTTTTTTCAACAACGATTTTCTCTTCTTTCGTAGTAATACTATGAATAACAAGCTTTTTGTACTTTTGTATAATGTTCATCTTTTCACTTGTATCGCTGCTGGAGTGAAAGAAATTCTTCGAGACGTTAATAATGTCCATGTCTTCATCGTTTGGTAAAAAGTCGTCTGGTAAAAAGTGGGCGTGTCCCGAAGACACGTTCTCTTCTGGTTCTTTCAACTGTAGTTTGCGTAGGTTGAACATGATTGTTCTCTGTGACAGTTACATATCCACGAACCCTGCCACCTGAAACTACTGTTCCAAACAGCAACACCTTTGCAAAGATGGAGAGCATGAAGAAGCATGACATGATCACTGGTGAGACATATCAAACTGTAGCTGCAAGCGTGACATCCGTAAACAATGGTGATGCATTATGGGATAAAGTTGTTGGGGAATATTTTAAAATAATTGCTTTTGTAAGTAATATAACACACAAGTTATTAAATATAGTAACGTTTTAGATATAATAATATGTGCTACAAATGTTTTTGTGGCAAAATGGGTAAAAACCATAGGTCACGTGAAATCTCGGGCTAACGAGATGATGACGGTGATTGCAGACGTAGAATCAACATGGCCGAAAGCGTGACAGTACAGCCGGTTCTCAATGAGACAAATAATGATACACTTGCAAATGCAACTGCCAAAATCCCGGCCACTCCAGAGGGTATGGCCGTTGCATACGCCAGCCTATTTTTGATGGCTATTTTCCCGATTTTCGTCGGTGCCTTCCGTTCAGTGAAACACCATAAGGAGCAAAAGGTATGTCCATGCTTTAAGGACTTACACGACCATGTTCTCAAGATGGACGTTTTTCTTATTGATTGTTGGAGTGTTTTTAAACCATAATGAGTATTAATGTTTATATCTGGCAAGTATTTTCGTGTAAAACTGGTTTTGCTTTGTTATACTTTAGTGCATGTGAGAATCCATATGTTTCATATGTTTGACATCTGGTAAGGAATTGGGCTAATTATTAAGTTATCAGATTGTCCAGTGTAAGTTCAGAATTGTTCGAAGTACTGTGTTATACATTAATTCACTTATCCTTCACAAAATGTTCCAGCAGAATAAGCATGATAAGCCCATAAGAAAACTTACCATATGTGACTCTCCTGCCAAGCAGGCTAAAACATAAACGTGATATAGAAATTTTGTTTTCTTAATCATACTAAACAATTGAGGATGAGCATTTACTTATATGAAGAGGTGTATATAAACTAATATGTCATGTTTGTCTTCAGCATATTTATGTTGAGATTGTTATGATTATGTGTTAATTTTAAATGCTTATGTTAATTTTTGCTTAAACCATATGTTACACAGGTTCAAACTGGAATATGGTAATCATGTTTGTTATCAGATAAACATTTTCACAGATTTCATTTCAGGAATCGGGTGAGAAGCCAGATACTATGTCCAGTAAAGATGCAGCAATGTTTCCCATCATCGCCAGCTGTACTCTGCTAGGAATCTACATTGTATTCCAGGTATTAAGAATGCTGAAATCTAACGTTTTGTGTAGTTTACCATATTTATGTTAGGTTGTTTGTTTTTCTTCATTAGTGATTGTCATTGTTTAACTATGTAAACAGCTTGTATCGGTAATTTCCCTTATATTAGATATCCTGTTGATTTCATCATGTGACCACAGGCTGATTCTGAACCAAATATTGTTGAACAGTATGAAAGCTATGTATATGACATACACAAGTTTGTTCTTGATCGTTATTCATGTTATTAATATTAAATAGACCTTGTTCTCTTTCAAGACTTGATAACAAGAGCATGTTCAATTTGACATGTGAATTTTCTTTTCTATTTTCAGTTATTCTCCAAAGAGTACATAAACTTACTTCTAGCTGTGTATTTCTTTTTCCTTGGAGTTCTGGCTTTGGCCCACATTGCAAGGTAATCAATTCAAAATCAGAATGGACATGAATAATTTATGATTCAAGATTTTCAGGATATAAACAATATCTTTGAGGAGTTATGCATGTTGAACCAATTTGTTCTTAATGTTAGACGGGATTGGGTGGTCAGGTTCACAGGCATGGTTGACACATGTCATCGGTTCCCAATTGCGCAGGCCGATGCTCATGCTCACTCACTCTTAATGTTAGCGTTGATACCATGAACATGATTGAGAGTTAGGTCCAGTTGTTCTATGAAATATCATCATGTTCATTTTGAGTATAGACTACTTTTCCTTTCAACCTGTCACTGATCACGAGGACTGGTCGGCTCGGGAGTCAGTATAATGTGTCTGAGTGGGGTATTCATGCTTCACTGCGGCATGGTATCTCAGTGGGCTAGCACTATAAAACCAGCTTAAGTCAGGGCTAGTACAAGCAGCCACACATACACATGCATGCATGTCGTCATATGAGCGAAATATTCTCAAGCACGACGTAAAACCCAATTTCACCTCACCTGGTGTCTCATCTCACATTACACATGTATTGTATTGAAGATATGATAAGGATGAATCCATAATTTCAGATTTTTCACTTGTACCAGAAACATTCTATCATGGTGCTTTTATTTTCAGCCCTGTGGTTTCTAAATTTATCCCACCTTCCTTCCCCAATCTTGACTATCACCTCACATTCACTCAAGGGAAGGGAGACAAGAAAGAAGGTAAGAACATGATAACAATCAAGGACAGTGATGTTAACAAATGAAGACATGTTTGTTGTCCGAGACTCGGTAGAACTGTTTAAAAGTTGCTTAGATGTTTTTTGTTTTAGTATCTGGTTTATTTACCTTACAAATCTTTTTTAACCTATTACCACTTAGCCTCCAGGAATTGGAATAGTGCTTTATTTGCCTCTGAGGTGCTAGAAGTTAAGGAGACCATTACCATCTCATCCTGGGTCAGAACTGGAAGATGTTAACTGCCAATAAATGCAATATGGCTATAATTGAAGACCAAATGGAGTTTTTGAACATTCAGTTTTTACCTCTACCAAGTCTGAATAATTAATGGTACCGTGACAGTAGCATCTTGTTAATATTTTATGTTATTTTAAGTTATTAATGTTTTTCATTTCAGAAATTATGAACTATGAATTTGACAGAAAGGATCTAGTATGTCTAGGATTGTGTAGTGCTGTTGGTGTCTGGTACCTTGCCAAAAAGGTTGGTATATAAATATTATTACATTTTCGAATTTATATCAGAGATTCAGATGTCCAATAGGACATGTCTATGACATTATCACTTTCTTTTCATGGAAGGTTCTATCAAATTTATATATGTTTTCAGGCCTTTTGGGATGACAGTTAGTCATTGTCCCAGAAAAAGAACAAATATGAAATCCTGAAATCAGTCATTAATCCACAAACTCATTTTTTTAGAAATCACAGTGTGTGTAAAAAGAAGAATACTGCCTGTCTGTCAGATTTGAATTAGTTCAAACTGTATGTAATTTTTCAGCATTGGTTGGCCAACAACCTGTTTGGACTTGCCTTTGCTGTGAACGGTGTGGAGCTTCTGTCCCTCAACAGAATCAGCACCGGCTGCATCCTTCTAGGAGGACTGTTTTTGTATGATATATTCTGGGTGAGTCACGTGTCATTATATACTGCCAGTCTGTGGGGCCTCAAACTGTAAGAAGTTGGTTGCATTGGGTAGGGGTGGGGACAGGGACGGGGCACTGAGCCTGTGATTGCAGCCATTAGCTTTCATCAAAGTGTTAAATATCACAGACCTGTGTCTCTTACGGCTTTCCTTTCCATATCAGACAGACTGACTGGCCGCATTATGTTTACCATTTTCTAGCACTGTTAGACCAAACTCATTATTACTTTTTGTAAGAGGAAATATATGATTTTGAAGACTTGCATGGCATCCAAAAGGCTTGGGTCTTTTTTTCTGTTTATATTTGATTTCTATTGTGTGTGAAGTTTGTTCCAATGCTGTTTTCCAGGTGTTTGGAACCAATGTTATGGTCACAGTTGCCAAGTCGTTTGAAGCTCCAATCAAACGTAAGTCAACCAAATTGATCTCATCAAAGTATTTTAAATCGTTTGTGAGTATGGTTTTGCAAACATGACAGTGCTTGGTGAGAAATGTATAACAATCATGTAAATTATCAGTTTTCACTCCTTCAGCATGAGAATCAGCTGCCAACAGCGTAAAACTAAACTCACTCACTATAATGTCTGGTAGAGTTGACATCCTTGTATACTGGTGTTATAAGATGTTGTTTAACACTACTCAGTCCAAGACTGTACTGTGTTCTAGTGGTGTTCCCCCAGGATCTACTAGAGAGGGGCCTGGCTGCCAACAACTTCGCCATGCTGGGTCTAGGGGACATCGTCATCCCAGGGATATACATAGCTCTTCTATTACGTTTTGACGTCAGGTATGGTTGATGGTCTTTTTTTTTTAGTTACCTACTTGAGACAATTTGACAAGTGTTGGAAACAAAGTGATGTACTACTGACAGGATGCATAGTTAACCATGTTGCTGAACACAGTATAATTTAAACTTAGTTTCATACAGTTTGCTACCTATTTACACGACCGCCTCCGTGGTGTAGTGGTTAGAGCGTCCGCCCGGAGAGCAGAAGATTGCGGGTTCGATCCCCGACAGCGTCATACCAAAAGACCTAAAAATATGGTACTTGTTCGTCCCTGTCTGGCGCTCGGCATTAATGGGTACAACAAGGACTGGTTGGCTCAGGCGCCAGTATAATGTGTCTGAGTGGGGTATTCATGCTTCACTGCAGCATGGTATCTCAGTGGGCTAGCACTGTAAAACTAGCTTAAGTCTGGGCTAGTACAAGCAGCCGCACATACACACGCATGCACGTCGTCATATGAGCGAAATATTCTCAAGCACGACGTTAAACCCAATTTCACCTCACCTCACCTATTTACACACTGCTTTGTATGAAAAAGTCTAAGAGGTCAAGATTATCATGAATGTCATCTATATGATCATCATTGCCCATCTGAAACATTTTTCTTATTGTGTTAATTGACATTTTCAGCCTAAAGAAGAACTCTAAGGTCTACTTCTATGCTGGCTTCGTTGCCTACTGCCTTGGTCTTTTCACAACCATTGTTGTCATGCACTTCTTCAAACATGCACAGGTAATCTACCTTTCACTTCCATGGAGGGAACATGAATTTTCTGTATTCAGTATGACTCCGTATAATTGTCAAAGGAAAGCTGTCAGGAAAAGTTCTTCCCATTCTTCCAGGAAACTTGATCACAGGATTGTCTGGCCCATACTCGATTATTTACAGACCGCTGCATATAGCTGGAATATTGCTGAGTGTGGCGTTAGTCAATCAATCTAGGACACTCAGTGTATCTTGGAGAGTTATGTCCCTTGGGCATGCCACAAACCTGTGACTGTTGCACTGGGTCCCAGATCGCCATGGTTACGTTTCTAAGTTTGTTAGCACCAAACCCATGCTGCTTTTGGGTTTCACCAAAGTGGAAGACTTCTGAGGCCTTCACGGCTTTGAACTTTCCATCCATGTCAAGCTGACATGCCATGATGTACCTCGGACATTGTTCAAAGTGGTGTTAAGCCCAAATCACTGTCTTGTGGACACTAGCTTTGCTTTGTTACTCATAAGAAATTGCCCTAGGAGCCGTTGACAGGCAATAACTGTGATCAGGCATGATGTATATTGACTTGATAACATACCCAAGACATGATAAAAAATCTTTCTCATGTTTTTATTTCGTAAATGTAATCATTCGCTCTGAGTTTTCTATAAAGAATTGTATGCCTTGTGTGTGACTTGAGACATTGTCTACGCAAATTATTGCATTTGTGTTTGGTGTTTAACATAAATCTGGCAAACCGGTGGTGCCTGAGCCAAGTGTCCCCTAATAAGTATATGGTGTGTTGTATTGCAGCCTGCCCTGCTATATCTGGTGCCAGCCTGCGTTGGAGTGCCCATACTTGTAGCATTAGTTAGAGGAGAACTCAAGGAGCTGTTCAGGTCAGTCACTGGGACATGTTGGATGGCTGAGGGTTGGTCTGGGTCTGAGGAGTTGGTTAGCATTATTTGAAAGGGTGGGGCTGGAATCACTTTGACATCTGGTTAGTGGATAGAGTCATTTAAAGTCCCCTTGAAAGGGCGGACACTGGGCAAAGTCACTTGAAAGGGCGGGACACTGGGTAAAGCCTCTTGAAAGGGGGGGGACACCAGGGACAGTTAAAGTTGAAAAGGGACACTGGGACACTTGGTTAAGTCCACTTGAAAGGGCGGGACACTGGGTAAAGTCACTTGAAGAGGCGGGACACTGGGTAAAAGCCTCTCTTGAAAGGGGGACACTGGGTAAAGCCTCTTGAAAGTGGCGGGACACTGGGGACAAAGTCCCTGCAAAGTCACTTGAAAGGGCGGGACTTGGGTAAAGCCTCTTGAAAGTGGGGGACACTGGGTAAAGCCTCTTGAAAGGGGGCGGACACCAGGTAAAGTCACTTGAAAGGGCGGGGGCACTGGGTTGAAAGTCACTTTAAGTCACTTGAAAGGGCGGACACTGGGTAAAGTCACTTGAAAAGGTGCGGGACACTGGGTAAAGTCACTTGAAAGGGCGGACACTGGGTAAAGTCTCTTGAAAGGGTGGGGCACCAGGTAAAGTCACTTGAAAGGGCGGGACACTGGTTAAAGTCACTTGAAAGGGGCGGCAATGGGTTAAGTCACTTGAAAGGGGGGACACTGGGTAAAGTCACTTGAAAGGGGCGGGACACCAGGTAAAGTCACTTGAAAGGGGCGGGACACTGGGTTAAGTCACTTGAAAGGGGCGGGGCTCTGGGTTAAGTCACTTGAAAGGGGCGGGGCACTTGGTTAAGTCTCTTGAAAGGGGCGGGGATGTCAGTTTTTATATTTTAGCATATTATTGCTACTATGTGATACTTATGCAGCTGTTCTACTTTCCACACAGTTATGAAGATCACTCGGACCAGAAGGAGGAATCTGAAGGAGAGAAGAAAGAAGAGAAAAAGGCAGAAGTAAAGAAGGACAAGTGATAGGATGTGGGTGAAAGCCAAAATCAAACTGCCTGATCCTGGGGCTCATTCATAGACAACTCTGGTCATACAAGGATGCTGTCAAGGGGGGCCATTCTTAGCAAACCTTGGTATATTTCTGCTAATGTTTATTTTTGTGTGTCTTAAGTAGAAAAACAACTGGATGTCTTTATAGGAGCTGTTAGCTTTGGCCAGGACTGTTGAATGTTCATTGGACTGACTGCTGCGAAGCATTTATTTGATAGGATGTGGATGGTGTGTGATGAACTCCTCGGTGCTCTCGGTTAAGTTTTAAATGTAGCTTCATTTTGTACTTTTATCTGGATTAAGATATGTTCTGGATCATTTACCATTGCCATAATCTGCATATATATGTTTTGTAACTTTGACAATATTGGTCACTTCAGTAGCATAACATCTGATTTATGTTGTGATAATGAAAGGGGACTGTATTGCAAAGCTTTCTTCATCATGTGGACACTGAAAAGTAGGTACAGACAGCTTAGCCTCTTGTTCTTTAGGCTGAGAAAAAAATTAATTCATAGTTACACAGGAATTGTTTTGATATTTTGTTTTCTGTCAGTGGTTAACTTTATCTTATTTTGTTGTCGAACATGGTGGCATTGCACAAAGCGATCTTAGTGCTAAGGTGATTGTAACTCCCATACCATAACATAGACTTACGACTGGCATAGTGCTAAGGTTGCTTTGTACAATGGCACCGATGTCAGTTTGTGTGTTTGGATTTTATGAAAGGTAGGTAATATGGTTCAGTAAGGCCTGACTATGAACATGATATGGTATAGAATAGGGAGACATGAAAATATCTTTAAGACATATTGATTATAATGACTCTGAAAGAATTGGTTAAATAGATTTTATGTAAATTTTGTATTTCTGGTAAAAGGGTTTCTCATGTATACAATAAAGAGACACTGATTTAAATTTTCATGTAAATAGTTTGGAGGTGGGATATTGAATGATTCTGGACTAAATATAGTTGAATATTTATCTGGGTCTAGTTCTAAGGATGTGATTCTAGGATTGAATTACTGGTATGTGTCATGTTTTGGTGCGATTGCTTCCTTGCATTATGTTACAGCTGAAGGATACAAGTCACAGATGCTTGTGTGACACGACCTGTATGTTACGTGTGGTATAGACTATATGTATGATATGTGTGGTACAGGCTGTATGTATGATACAGACTGTATGATATGTGTGGTACAGGCTGTATGATATGTGTGGCACAGACTGGATATGTATAATAGTCTGTATAATATGTGTGTTACAGACTGTATCATGTGTGGTACAAATGGAATGTAGAGTTTTGCCGGTACAGTCTCTTCCTGCTCCAATCAAGTACTTTACTAGTCTTTAGGAAGATAGCTGATAGAATACTTCCTGTTGGTTAAAATAACCTGTATATCCTTGGGTTTTCATGTGGGCTCCACCAGTTGTCATATACATCATTTATGTTACATTAATTTAGGTACACCGGTTACATCTTTTCCTTATAAAACATTAACATGTGCCTTTAAACCAAATAGTATTTGATACCCTAAGCTTGTTTGGGCACTGTAATCTATATGTTTCTATGACTTCTTTGGTGACTTGGCAGAATGGATTGCTTTTTTCATGCTTATTCTCTATGAGTGCCATATGTTAATGACAAATCACTTATTCTGAAGCCAAAAAAGGTCTTGTGTTCCTTATCTTCAACCATTTCATTTTACTCCGAATGGTTGTTATTCATTATCTTCAAATGTTACATTTGACAAAATAGTTTGGAAGTGTTTGGTCTTGTTTGGGTCAGTTCATTCTCAGGCCTAGCTTAATAGCATTTCCACAAAGGTACAGTTGAATGCTGACTGGAAAGGATATCAATGTTTTGTGTTTTTAGGGGGTGTCTTTACACATGATTGCTGAGTTACTTCCCTTTAACATGCTAACATCATGGCTCAAGTGTTTCTTGATCTATCATAAGTATTCATAAGGTTTATTTTTTGAAAGTGTCAGTGATGTATCGCCGATATTGCATTCAGTTATAATTCACTCAGTCATGAAAGCATATCATCTATGTAGTAAATACAGCCATATTACCAAAAATGATACTTACATGAACCGATTGTTACCATGGCAACAGCATTCTTATTAGAATACTTTTCCCCCCATCATCATTACTTCATGGGTTGTATATGCATTTTGTGCTCTCTTAATGCAGGAATACGGGCACCTGTTGGTAGTGTAGTCACTGTTTTTCAACCAGTGACCTGTCTGGTTTCCCATCTGGTTCCAGTGAAGGGTAATCACCCACCAAAGAGCTCTGAGGTCATCTCTCAAACCCCATGATTACCTTACAACATTAACACATCACTTCTATATCAGGCAGTGAAAGGAACTGCACAGAATTCATTTAATGGGGGATTGAAAAACTCCAGTCACATTGCAGGACAGCCATATATTATTGGTGAATGAGGGGGGTAGTGTATACAAGCTCATGAAGGGTTGACAGGGAGTTTCCAGATTTAGTTGACCATCTGTCAGGAGAGTTTGAATGAAAGGACAGATGGTATTTTAGACATTTTGATATGTATTTATTTTGCTTTTTGGACATGTTACTTGATTGAGGGTCTTTCTTGTTTCTGCAACTTTGTGTTGTCCTGGATTCTTGTCATTTATTGCAGATATGTTTTTTGTTTACACTTATATCTGATTATGAATAGCTTTTTGTCTTTGGATTATGTTTGGGAAATACAGCAACAGTGTATATTTCTTTGTTGAAACCATGTTGATAATTTAATTAGGTTAAGGAAGTTGTTGTATTATCCGAAAATGAAGGTCAAGATTTCAAATTGTAACATTATTTCTGAAATAAAAATTATCCGTAAGTGATGCATGTGTTTTATTTTTTTGTTCATAGACGTTTATCTGGTGCAGGTCACTATGTTTAAGTCTCGCGAGGCGCTACTTCCGGTACTAAACTAGTTCTCGGCTCCTTTGCACGCGCCACTTTGCAAGGCCCAGCTTACTTCTGGCACCAGATTTCCGGTGACAAGCGTATATTCAAGAACCATTTCTGGTTCCAAATTGCACAACTGCTGATATGATTTTACTAGACCGGACCAAGTGTACAACCATGCTTGGCTGTCACAGCTGTTGACAGTGGTAATAGTTGGCTAATTTGGGGATGGTTAGATCGGAAATGTGTTAACCCTGCAAGGGTTATCGGTTCCTTACTGTCAACTGACAACCATGAGAGCATTCGAAAATGTATGAAACTTTGTTTGTCACCGGAAGTACTAAGGTGTCGCGCAGTGCCGTGACCTACTTACGGGCCCTATAGTCGAAGTGGTATTTGACATGATACGTTTGACTATGGCTTAGATTGTGTTGGCTTGACATCGCTTATCTCCATGGTGATATACCAGTAACTGGCATATAGTAAGCTTATACATCAAGAACCCACTTGCATCAACGTCTCCAAAGGTATTGAGTGGGTCAGCAAGTGTGGCATAAACACCATGTAGAACAACTGTTCAGTAATATTACTCCCATACTCCATTTAGGGAACATGTGTATATGGTAGAATTCATAGCTCTGTGTGTGTGTGTGTGTGTCTGTCTGTCTGTCTGTCTGTCTGTGTGTGTGTGTGTGTGCCAAAACCAATTCAAATGGTCATTTATTCAGTGCTTTCAATTTGCAACGCACCGTAGAAAAACCTGCACAGCGAATAAGGTCATATCATAAAGCAATGTTTCCAGTATGTCATACAGTTAACATATAGATGATATTTTAAAAATCTTGTGTATTTTCCCTCGCCCCTTATGTGTTCAGAATGTATTAAAAAACTATTCAGCCATAGCATGGATAACGTCATCATGTATTAATAATTTCACTTTGATCTCCGCCGACATACTACCGATTTGGCTACCTACTTGAGCGTTTATCACGTGGGAAATCAGTTAATGGTGAAGCGTTTAGTCTGTCCATGTGTAGGATTAATTTGTGATGATCTTTACTAAGTTAATGTATCGGTCACGTGGCACCACCCCAGGTGACGAGAGCGATATTTAACCTGTTTGTTTAGCGCCACCTACTGCAATATTCCAGCTTTCTGACGGCGGTCTGTAATTATATCGAGTCTGGATCAGACAATCCAGTGATCCAGTCAAGAGCATCGATCTACGTAAGTTTAGATGACACTTGTCAACCAAGGACTCCTTTCACGAAGCAACCTTTACAAACGTTAACCTTAACTCCCATTCTTTAACATTGCACTAAGGTTACCTTAGTGACTTACGATCACCTTAGTGAGACCCAAGTCAGCAAGCTTGACCACCCTATCCCGTTCTTCACCTCTTACGACAAGCATATAATTAGCCCATCTTGTTTGGTAGGCCTGTGAATATCATCAGTGTGTTCGCCAATTGCATTTTATTCTCAAAATGTTTTTTAACATGGTCATGATGGTGTGAAAATGTTGGAAGTGACCCGAGGGGGTGCCGATCTGAAAGACCGTATGTCTTCCTTTAGGCACCAAGTCTACAACACCAGAACTTCAAACCCCAAGACAGAAAAAAGCTTGAGATGTCGGAAGCCAGCCCATAACTGCAAATATAGAAATGATGTGTGCAGACCTATTTGTGTGATTTTAAGTGGTCGAAATGTGCATGCTAAAGAAAGTAACTACACATACCTTCATTTTTCATATGAACCCAGTTTGGCGTGAGTTTTATCAGTTTTGTCGTGAAAGCGTGACATGAGCAATAAAGAGTGAGTCTCAGTGTGACTGCAACACACGCCTGTCTGCTTCATGTGGGGCATACACACAAACCAGAACATGGACGCCGGATCTCCAAGGCGACTGGGTGGATCTGGTGCCAGGCACGATGGCGTGGTGGATCCCACTGCTTGGATCAATGCTCATGATATCAGTGACTGGTTTGTGTGTTTAGGATAAGTACAGGCTATTGTGATACAGTTTAAAAATAACAAAAACGGTTTGCGTTTCAGTTGAGGACATCGGGAAATTGAGAACATGACCCCAAAGTAATATGTCATTCCCCATCACACGTCACCGAATAATCCAATCACATTGCAAATATCATCAGCATATGGAAGTGAACGATCTCGTAAGTGACTGAAAGCTGGTTTCACCCATACGAACACGAGTTTTGAAAAATGCAGTTTGAATATATCTTGGCACTAATTCTTTAATTTAAAATTAATGCAAATTTGTGATATATTGTGTTGGTACATATATATGTCGCCCTAAGATCGCCCTGTATGGCTGGTCTCTCCACTCACAACTGGTCACCGCGACAGATCGGCACCAAAGAAGAGGTACAAGGACTCTTTGAAAAAGTCCTTGGTGCCTGTCACATCGGCCACCGCCAGTGGTCGACCCTTGCTGGAAACCGCGAGGTCTGGCGTCACACCACCTACCATGCAGGCTGTCTCCTCCTCCTTTGAAGATTTTCTCAGAGCCAGTTTAAAGAACAAGAGACAGAGGAGGAAGAACCGCGAAACCTGAGCACCAAATCCAGACCAGATCTTCACCTGCCTTGTCAGCCACGACATGGACCACCCCTTCACAGATCTTCGTTCGCGAAGAGGCCATGATGACATATACTCGGGGAAACGAATAAATGAC